TTCGCAGTGGGAACTGACTTCGAGGCGTATGCAGAACAGCTGGAATTCTTCTTCGTGGCCAATGGAGTGATCGACGTGAAACAGAAGAAAGCCGTCCTGTTAGCTAATCTTCCCACTAAAACCTACCAACTGGCGAAAGACTTGATGGCCCCGATATTGTTAACAGAAGATTCTCTCACGTACGACACATGTACAATCGTAGAGCGTCTCCAAAAGCAATTGAAGCCGCAGAAATCTGCCTTAGTCGCCAGGTATGAGTTTGACAACCGAGCGCGTAACGCATAAGAAACGGTGAGTTAGTATGTTGCTGTTTTAAAGCATCTAGCTAAGGATTGCAAGTTTAATGATGCCATTCGTTTGGAAAGGCTCAGAGATAGACTGGTTTCGGGTATTCGAGATAAGAGAATGATGTCAGAGCTCTTGAAACTCAAACTCGAGGAACTGACATATGACATTGCTGCAGCGAAGTGCATTGCTATTGAGCAATCTTTGAAGGATGTTGAAGCTCTCGGGGGGGTGGGGGAGAGTCAAACCCAGTCGATTTGTTATCCAAGTCAAGGTCAAGCAAGAAGCCTAAACCTAAGAAAGAAGCTACGCCTTGAGAGAAAAAGGGTTTCTCATCCCCTAAAGAGGCGGGTGATCAAAGTTGCTACCGTTGTTTGGGAAATCATGATCATAAAAGTTGTCCGTTCAAAATGAAAAAATGTCACCACTGCAACAAGAACGGCCATATTGTAAGAGCTTGTAAATACAAGAAAAGAGAGACACAAGCTGCCCAACTCCCAGTAAATTATGTGGACAGTGCTGACGGGGACAGCGATGATTATTTGGGATCCCTTGAGGTTAATAATGTGAGCGACAAGGATCATTTCATATGGGTCAGCCCCGATGTACAGGGAAGGGTGGTCAAGATGGAACTAGACACAGGTTCAGTTGAGCTCTGTACTCCCATACAAACAGTATAAGGAACATTTTGGTCATGTGAAGCTTGCGAAGAGCCTTGTAACACTCAAAACCTACACTGGGCAGACAATCACACCTAAGGGAGAGATGAAGTGTAATGTTAAGTTCAAGGGCCAGGAAAAGGAGTTAACGCTACAAGTGGTTGAGACACCGGGGCCTGCATTGTTTTGGCGTGACTGGCTCTCCAAAATTCAGCTAAAATGGGGTGAAATCAAAGCCCTTAAGCTTAGCAAGACTCCGGAAGGGGTCATGCAACGCAAAGTGGATCAGTTGTCGCAGCAGTACGATTCTGTATTTTCTGAGGCTGAGGGCACACTTAAAGGCCACAAGCCTGATTTGAAGGTCGAGGAGGGCTGCCATTCTAGCTGTCATAAGCCACGCCAAGTTCCATATGCATTCCGCCCCAAGGTAGAAGCAGAATTGACACGTTTAGAGAAGTACAGTATTCTTTCAAAAGTAGAATACAGCGAATGGGCTACCCCGATTGCCCCAGTAGTTAAGCGAACGGATCAGTACGTGTGTGTGGCGATTTCAAGGTCTCAGTCAATCCGGTACTTCTTGCTGAACAGTATCCTCTGCCGCGCATAGAGGATATTTTTGCGAATTTGGCTGGGGGTAAGCATTTTAGCAAACTTGACCTGCGCCAAGCTTATCACCAGATGGAAGTAACAGAGGAATCCAAGAAATTCCTCACGATCAAGACACACAAGGGCCTCTTCAAATACAATGGCTTAGTTTTTGACATTTCTTCGTGTCCAGCGATTTGGCAACGTGCCATAGACCAGGTATTATAGGGAATACGTGGCATCCAGTGTATCCTCCATTACATGATCGTTTCGGGCAAGACCGATGAAGAACATTTGGAGAACCTAGAGAGCGTGCTCAAGCGACTACAAGATGGGGGTCTAAAGGCCAACAAGTAGCCTGCGAGCAAGCTCTCCTATTTGGGCAAGCGAAGTGAGCCTCGCGAGAACGCGCGAGCGAGGGGCCGAGGAAAGGAGAGCTTGCAACGATCTCTCGTAATATTTCATTTCCTCCTAAGAAACCCCGGGACTCCGCAAGGCATGAAAACGGTCACCGCAAACGTGCCGCAGATTAGAAAGTGGCAACCGCCTATCAATTAAGTTTAGACAGCCGAGGGTGCGTTAAAGGACGTCTACGGGGAGGTTAAGGGCGCGTAGAATTATTCATTTATAAATCGCTTTCGCAACAGCATCAAAGCAATGTTTAATCACTGATATGTTTTTTTTCCACGGGGACATCGAACTTCAACGTGTCCGCTCGGATAAGAACTAACTACTTTTATTCTCGTTTCGTTTGCTTTTCAAACGTCGTGCATTCTGCAGTGTAGAAGACTACTTCCCATCACAATCACCAACAAAAACATCATATCTTTGTCTGTCTGGAACTGGCGAATAGCGTTTTCCTGTACTTGGTTCTCTTGAGTTTTACTTCAGTTGCTTCCAACTCTTTCTCTTTTCCTTCTTTACGGTCAAGCTACACAGCTACACTGTCAAGTACATGTTCCTGAATTGACACAAAGGAATACAACCGATGAAGGGTTTTTATTTTCCTTCCACAAGAACTACAAACTCGGTCCGACTTATCCTCGGCTCGCAATATTCTCGTTGCGAGAATACATCAAACGAGCCCCTCTGCTTTGAGGGCTGAAACAAGTTCTCGGTACCAATCTGATCCCCCTGAGAACACGCAGAAGAAGCAGGTGCCAGCTTGACCTGTTATCAGTCAACTTTGATTTCCGGAACGTCATTTTTCAGCCAATGGTATTTCCCTTCGTCTGGGCGAAGAACAAATGAAATTTTATGAGAGATCGTTGCAAGCTATCCTTTCCTCTGCCCCTCGCGGCTTCGCCGCTCGCTCGCGCGTTCTCGAGAGACTCGTTTATTTCGCCCAAATAGGAGAGCTTGCTCGCAGGCTAGCCAACAAGGAGAAGTATGAGTTCTTCAGGGATAGAGTTCAGTTCTGTGGACATGAGATCGACAGAGGAGGTCTCCACAATACACAAGAGAAGACTGAGGCAGTAGTTAGCGCACCTAGACCTGAGAATGTGTTACAGCTTCGCTCATTTTTAGGGATCGTTAACTATCACAACCGCTTCTTGCCTAATGCGTCCACACTTCTCCACCCATCTCACCAGTTGTCAGAGCAAGGCAGCGAATGGCAGTGGACTGAACAGTGCGAGCAAGTCTTCACCGAGGCTAAGCGCATGATTACATCTGAGCAGTAAACCCACTTTGATCCAGCGTTACTAGTTAGGCTTGCATGTGATGCTTCACCAACCGGCATCGGTGCGGTTCTTGTGCTTCCCGATCGTTGACCAAGACAGAACGCAATTTATTATGCACAGATTGACAAGGAGGCATTGTCTATTCTGTGGGGGTGAAACGATTCCACGTATACCTCTAGGGGAGGCGGTTTACGCTCATTACAGACCACAAGCCCCTCACTGCCACTTTTCACCCAGAGCAGGGAGTTCCTTCCATGACCGCTGCGAGACTCCAGCGATATGCATTGTTCTTGGCTGGTTTCAATTACAAGATAGAGCATGAGAGCACGACTGAGCACTGCAATGCTGATGGACTGTCTCGGCTCCCCCTCCAGCAGAAAAAGCTTGAAGAGATGGGAGTGGATTCGTCAGAGGTGTTCCACGCTTCCCAGTTTGCGCCATTACCTGTAACTGTAACTAGTGAAGCGGTTGGTAGAGAAACACGTCGTGACCCAGTCGTGGCAAGGGTGCACGAGTCTATGGTGAAAGGATGGTCTACTCGCATAGATGGAGAGAAGCCTCACTACCAGCGGCGTAATGAACTGACGGTTCACCAAGGTTGCATTCTTTGGGGAAAGAGAGTGGTAATCCCCAATAAGCTTCAAGACAGAGTGTTGAAGGAGCTACATGACGGGCATCTGGGTGTGGTAAAGGAGCGAGGAGCTACGTCTGGTGGCCTAATATCAACGGCCGACTGGAAGAGCTAGCAAAAGCCTGTAGTGCGTGTCAGCAAAACCAGAAGATGCCTACTAAAGCACCTCTACATCCGTGGGAGTGGGCCACTGCACCATGGCAACGCATACACATCGACTATGCCGGCCCGTTTCAGAACTCCATGTTCTTAGTGGTTGTCGATGCACACAGCAAATGGCAGGAAGTAGGGTCTGCCGGATTATGCTCGAAAAATAGAGTATTATGCTTTCGGGCGTTACCCGTTTCATTAGCAAGCTAAAGGTCGGAAATTGTGAGGCATTGAAAGGCTTACTATATGTCTTTCTCCAATGAACTTGGATTATAGCAAAATGTACTGGGTACGAGTCTAACGAATCAAGTTAAAATCTTCCCACTTTTATCAACTTTGTACATTCTAGAGCGTTGCTAAGAGCGAGTTGCTGGAAAAATTTGCATACACCTCTCACAGTTTTCAGAAACAGAGGCATTATGCTCCAAAAATATTAGTATTATGCCAGCATTATGCCTGATGCTCCACATATAGTATTATTCTCAAAATTATGCCGGCGTAATCCGGCAGACCCTAGCAGGAAGTGATTCCAGTTAATTCTACCTCTTCAAGTTCGACCATCGAAGTCCTACGCGATTTATTTGCCAGATTTGGAATTCCTAAACAGCTCGTTAGTGACAATAGTGCACAATTTGTTTCTGAGGAGTTCCAGGCGTTTATCAGGTCCAATGGTATCCGCTATATAACATCAGCAACATACCATCCGGCTACAAACGGTCTAGCAGAGAGAGCAGTACAAACCTTCAAGCAGGCTTTACGTTCCGTGTATCAAAGCTCAAAGCCAGTGAAAGAGAAGTTGGCAAAGTTTCTCATACCTTAAAGACTCCTCACTCCACTACCGGTGTGAGCACAGCACAGTTATTCTTTGGAAGACCGAAGTGCACTCGCCTAGATTTGGTGAAACCCAACTTGAACCGTAAGATAGTTAACCAACAGCACCAGCAGAGCATCAGAGCCGCGAATGAGAAGGGTAGACAGCGTCGTCAGTTAGAGGTTGGTGATTCGGTGATGTCACAAGATTATAGAGGAGATCTGAAGTGGCGCTCAGGACTGATTGTCAGCAAGACAGGTCCACTGACGTACGAGGTGCAGGTGGCACCAGGGATTATTTGGCGTCGACATATCGACCAGTTGAAGCCAACGGCAGTTGAGCACACAGTTGAGGTCACTGACACCGACACTGTTGAGGTCAGCCAACCCGAAGTGGCCAGCACACCACCAGCGCCAATCCAACTGAGTGCTCCACCCAATCTGGCTGGTACAGTTCCAGAGATTCCCGTAGCAGATCAACCAGAGATGGTTCCTCTTCCCAGACCAATAGTTTCCGACCCTTCTGAAGCGACTCCGGTCAGTCCTACCGTCCGTGAGCGGCGGTACCCTCAGAGAGTGCGCAGGGCACCACAGAGACTCGACCTCTGAACTCTTTTTCTGTTTTTCTTAGAAACTATAGGTTACCGGACACTCTCAGTCGATTTAGTTGTTTCCTTGATATTGTACCTTGGGCTCAGTTACAAACTAGAGACTGATCATTTTTGTGTGGAGGAAATGTTATGGTCTCCCTGTGCGTTTACTGTATATAGTAATTACATGCTCACGCATAGATTCAATTAAACGAGTTTGTAGTGAACTGCCATGTTGTCCGAGTGTATTCTCCGAACTCTCGTCAGTACATGACAGTCTCTGATGTTGAGCTTGAAGCTCATATAAGCTCATATAAGCTCATAAGCTCATATATACATATAAGTAACACCCATAATCATAACACGAGATCCGTTTCCAATAACAATATTACAACACCAGCTTGTAAAAGGAACTCTGGCCTTCGAACGTTTCCCTCAAGCGCTTGCCGTTTGTGGAACGCTCTTGATCCCGAACCTAAGACACTCTCCCATACTAATTTTAAAAATTACTTATTTAAACTTTACCGTAGTTTGATTTCTTCTCTTGATCATTTTAAGATTTGTAAAACCTTTTAGTTTCATTAGTAGTCAATTAATCAATATTGTATTAATAGTAGTTTATTATGTAATTTTAGTTGGTAGTTAATTAATTAATCGATACTTTTTATTACTTTAATTGTAGGAGGGCCATTATGAAAACTACTGGGTGACCAGTAATCAATGTCTTTACCCTCGTTAAATAAAGTTATTACTTACTTACTTGCTAAGCTGGATCTCTTGCGATAAAAATTTGCTCATTCTAAGGCAATGCCGTGACCTCAATTTTCTTCGAACCATATCCCCCCGCTGGGTGGAATATCAAAGACTCAGAGAAAACTTATCGTATGTGGTGTAGAAAATATAATAGTGATAAAAATGTCGTTTTAATTTCTTGTCTCGTAGATGCAGCTGTTTTAAAATATACAATTTACACACCTATTTCAGGTGTTCGCGAAAACAAAATGCTACTCAAACTGGAGTACACAAAAGCTCTCCAATGAGGTCAAAGTGGATGACATACTAGCCCATGTAACACCACACTTGCTTGATTGGAAATGAAATTAAAGGCATTGAAACAGAAAGTCTCCTCTTAAATATTGAATTAACTCCAAACTTATGTCATACGTTAAATGTAAAAGTGCAAAAATTGAAAGACTAGTGAAATGTTTAGTTATGATATCTATTGTAATTTAATTAAGTGAAAACAAATCTGGTTCTGTTTACTTCAGACTCCATTCACACTGACTTTTAAAGTATTTAATTGGTACAGCATAGTGTCATACCAGCGGGCAATACTGGCCTATCGGCCTGTCAGACTGGTCATTCCATTCCATTGAAAATGGATTACTTTAAAAACCCCGGTTATGAAATCCGCTAATTATACATCCATCCATTTGCAAATAAGGAGAATTAGTGTATTCCAGTTCTAAGAACCCTGGCTAATAATGCCCTCTAGTGAAAGGCCCACTTGCATGTTCTGACCACCCAGAAATAAACAACAGTATTCCCTTCCCAGCTTAGTCTGCTGCAAGAGTCTAAAGTAATCAGCAAAAATGTTAATCACTAAGCTAACACGGGGAGTGAGAAGCATGCGGCACCGGCTTCATTTGCACGGAGCAGTAGTTAGTACTAGGTGCAGTACACACAGACTATGTACAATAAAGTGGATACTATCATAGCTAAAGCTAGATATGCACTATCACTGCCCACTCTGATTTGTACTACTGGTCTGTTCTCACAGGTTTGGTGTTTGGGAAGGGTATATCCTTTTATTCATCAAGTGGCCAAACTTTTTTTTTACAGAAAGGGGGCGGGCGAGGGGGGAGAGAAAAGGACACCTTTCCTGTCAGCAAAAAGAATAAGACTTTGGACCATGGCTTTGGTCTATGTGTTTGCACAACCTCAAAGCGTGTAGAGAAATGTAGGCAACTTGGAGCGAAACCACCCCATTAAAATGTTGTTAAGTAGCTGCTCCAAGGACCATGAGAAACGGCACATTCTATTCATGATGAGGTGTCAGCTGCCGCCAATAGGCTCTCACCGATAGTGCTAGCACTTTTTTTGGCATTATTTGGCTTCGTGAGCATTTTGTTTTACATTGTATCCCAAAAATCACTGCTAGAATTATTTTGGATTTTCGACTGATTATTTGTATAATTTTGTGTTAAAAAGCACAATGTGACTTTATTTATGTCGTCCAAAGCCGAGGAGACCTGGGGAATAGGTTTGATAGGTCAGCGGTTGCCCTCTAGAAACCCAGTCCACACTCGTTCCAAGTTGTCATCGAGAAGCAATTGAAGTCAGCCAGCCAAGGCAGAGATAGCTCGAGAGCGTACTCTGCCATTTTGTTGTGGAAAAATGTGACTGAAAATCTGAAAAATGTAATATTCTATGTTTAAAAATATCGGAAAAAAGTGAGCATTTTCATGTAACCAACGAGAACTTTTTTTTTTTTAAAAAAAGCATTATTTTAGCATTTTTTTGCCAAAAACAAGCACTGCTTTAAGCATTTAATGCTTTTTTTACGAGCACTATCGGTAAGAGCCTAGCTGCATTTTTTCCTCTTAGATGCACATAATATAAGTATGAAGTCTTAAAACTGCAAGCACAGCCTTGACAGATGGAATTATTTTAGACTCTTGCCTCAATATACAGTGAACAGTCAAACTTTCTACACATTTCTTTTATAATTTAAATGTTAAAAAATATTTTCTTTATCTTGGGTAAAATATCAGAATCATGAATCAAAACAGATCATGCCATGATCATAACCATAAACTTTCAGCCATATAATGTATATAATATTTGTAGAGCCATACATAGGAAATAGACTCTTTGTACAAGACTCTAACAAAGAGCTGAGACTCTTATCATCAAGGCTTCTTCAGCAAAAATGCATTATGTTCAGATGCTTATTTGCAACATGTCCTTTTAGATAATGTGACAAACCACAATAATTCATACTATGCAAAAATTTTACAGACTGTAATTCACAAATTGTCTTTTTATACAAACTAAAACTTTGGGTCTGGTAAACATCTGATCTCTAAATAGGAAGAACAGAACTTTTATTCAACCGTTGTGTCTCATTAGAATACTCTACCTACAATGTAACCATTCATAATCAATTCTTACAGAAACTACCTCTTTCTTCAGCCAAAATAAGTTTTTTCTGTATCATTATCTGATTTTACCAGTCTTAAAAACCCACTACCTTGAGCAATGTAGACCTTCATGTTACAAAACCTGTATCAAGTACTGAAAGTTATTAAACAGGTATATCATGATAACTGGTGCACATTAATATTGTTGAAACAGAAAATAAAATGAAATAATAATACTATTGATGGAAATAGATAGATGGTAGAATACTGAAGGGAAAACACAATGATTATATTGCTGAAAGAATGACATCCATACTGACTTACAGTATGTACATTCAAGACCAATAGGCCATTTTACAGTTGTGGGCTTGGGGTCCTAGTCTTTGAGTGAATGTGAAGTTGAGGTTGATACAATTAAACCTCTTCCCTTCTATTAATTATAAATGAAAGTTTTGTTTAAAAAATACTATTCGCAAAAGAACAACATAATGTGCATAATAAAGAAGGAAGGGTTTTTATCAAAACAAGGTCAACTTCAGCCAAGATTGTAACTGTAAAATAGGCTATTACTGCTTTCCCTTTAGTTTTAGATGCAGACGTAGGGTTTGCTCATATACTATGAACTGCATTTACATGTATTAAATAACCAGCAAAAAAGTGATTAAGTGAAGTACATGCACATGGTAGGTACCCCCTTTAGCATTAATTACAGTGAATCGCATCCGTTTGGAAAGCACCCAGACGTTTACCGACTCCAATTCCTCTCAAGTTTTGTAGTAAACAGCAGTGGCGTAGCCAGGGGAGGGTTCCAGAGGTTCTGGACCAAACCCTCCCCCTCCCCCTTGGGCTACAGCGCTGGCTATAATTTCAAGAGGAATGAGATTTTCGCTGATAAAGAAAATGAAAAGAAAACCAATTGAAAAAGTATCACACTCTATTTCAAGGGTTACATATGAATACTATGAGGAAGATCATTCGAGGCCCCTGTGTATACAAGCCTGCAATGTGGGATTCAGTACCTTTGTTGGTCTCGATTGCTTTTAATGGCACGTTGTAAAGGTTTGACTATATGAGAGGGTTTAAATACAAACTCGGTAGAGGCATAAAAGTGAGAAGGTAGCATTGATATTTGCAAATCAGTGTGAGGAAATTGTCTGAAATTGGGACACTAACACTATATACAGCAGCGAACTGCATAAAACATACAGTATTCAATAATGAGTTCATCATATGCCACCCAGGTTTCCATGATGCAGTGCCTTTTCATTACATAAAAGCTACTCAGAATCAGGCTCCAAAAGTGAGACATAAATGCCTATTAGGCTACCATCAGCCCTAATTTTCATGGGGCAGCTTTTACATTGGAGGCACAAGTGGCTCAACGTGGAAAAAAGACCTTTCTAGTAGTGCAGTTGAGGGCTTGGCCATGAATTCTTTCCAAACTTCAACTTCCTGCATATTTCAAGTATGTTACAAATTACATCAGCAGAACATGAGCGATGGTTCAGCACCCTGCACAGACTTACAAAGTACTTGGCAGCGACCATGACTAAAGAGCGAGAGTCTGCTGCTCTTGCCCTGATGAACATTGCATTACGCAAATTGGCCTAAGTCCACCAATTGACACCTTTGCACAAAGGCATCCATGATGTTTCGTTCTTGCTAATATCCTTACTGAGTAAACGTCAAATCACAAGACTACAGTGTGTGTTTTAATGTATTCAATGATTATCAACATATATGTTGTAGTTACAGTTGACTCCCGATAACTCGAACCCTCACTAACTCGAACCTCGCGCTAACTCGAACCAAAATCGATTTCCCCTGGATTTCCGTCATACATTTACTGTAATTTTACCCTCGGTAACTCGAACCCTCGATAACTCGAAACTCCCGCTAACTCGAAGTAATTTTTGTTTCCCCTCAGATTATTTCTATATAATTTTACCCTCGATAACTCGAACCATGTTTTGAGCCCTTAAAAAGACGGGAAAAAACAGTGTACTGCCTCCGAAGCATTGAATTTTGAATTTCCCATTGACGTGTTGTAGGCATATAGTTTACTAGTGGATCGATAGTGGAGGCTGATGTTGTGTGTCACAAATCTAACGTAAAACAGCTTTACCTCTCAAAAAGTAAAATGCATGCTCTATTTAGGCAACGTTTTGTTACTTTATGTTCTGATTTATAATCTTAAAGTATCTTTCAGTTTTTCACTCAACATTTCCACAATTAAATGTGATTAAAATGCTCACTGTTCAGTAAAAACTGTTTTTTTCCTTACTCCCTGCAATTTTCTTCGAGCTCCCGATAACTCGAACCTTTTTCGATTTCCCCTGAAGGTTCGAGTTATCGGGAGTCAACTGTATTTCTTTATCTCAGGGAATTTTTACTTTTCTTTGGTTTCAACTTCACAAAAATAAAAGAAAAACAAAAATTACCCAAGATAAAAAATTAACAGCAACATAAATCGATCACACTATCTCTTCACTGAAAGCGAAAAAATGCTAGCTTCTTTAATTGGCACTGTTATTGGAAATTTGTGCTCAGAATCACAAAACAGAAATTAAAATTTTCTGGGGGAGAGTGCCTAATAGAGCGCTTTCACTCACGTGGCCAGCATTTATGCAAATTTATTGGAACAAAAGAGGGCGTTTGCATAAGAAAAGAGTTCAACTCCCTGAGGATTGCTTTGGGACACCAACATGGCCGCCGTTTCATTGTTTTGGGACACCAATATGGCAGCCGTGACGTCATGTGAAAACACTCTATACCAGGAGCCTATGACCCCTAGGCTCCTTAGGCTCCTGCTTATACCCCATGCTCTCCGAAGCTCGATTGTCAATCTAGACAAAAATACCACATTAGGAACCCCTCTATGCAAAAATGCTGGCTACGCCCCTGAACCGGGTAACTTATTTTAATAGAAGCTCTCCTGGTGAGGAATGTTTTGCAAAACAATTAAGAATAAGGAGGTCTCTGAGTCGCTACATGCATCACTCTCTCATTCAGAGGCAGCACAGTGAGAAATTCACAACCTCGCAAGAAACAGAAAAACTAAGCCTATTAAGCGTATATAAAACTGAACAACATCTAAATAATTGAAGATCAAGATGTTATGCTGTACACAGTTTGAGTGATAAAACATACCACATAAATAAGAAGATTACCTTTCTCCGTTTTCTCCAGGTCAGCAGGACGTTTCAGTGAAGTGGAAAAATACGTTTCCTCTTCCAAAAAAGACCTTTATCGTAGCCTTTTGTAAATTAAGAATTTCCAATCCAAGCCAATGACTTTGCTTTGGACTAGTTCTTTTTGCAATGCACTCAGCAATATACACAAATTAAAAATCTTTTCAACGCCCGTATAAGTACTATAGGCTAAGAGAAAGACATCATACTTTGCAAACCTTTACATGTCAACTTGAACGAACCTTCGACGGACGACTTTCGCTTTGGCAGCCATCTTTGTTTTTTCACTTGCGCGCGGTGGGGAGACTGAACACTACAAAATCAAACAGCCAATCAGACAAAAGTCGTTTATTCCGAGAAAATAAATCTAGCGCGTGTCGAACCCAGCCCTCCCGATTGCCAGCCCGACATGCTGACCCCTTGACGTCCTGTTGACTAAACTATAAAACCTAATCGTAAAATTTTGACATACAGAAATTGGATTTACAAATTTAAAAATCATCAAGTTGTGTAAGCGGAAGAACTGTATAGGGCTGCAGAAAATTAAAGCTTGGTAATGATGTTAAATAAATATGTATCTTTTTAGAGATCGTATTTTTTGTCATTGTAGGTGTTGAAAATAACTTGATATTACACCTTACATTAACCTTCGTCGTTTGGCGAACGAGAGCTGTTATACATCAGGCGATGCTGTTACAATTTAGGCAGTAGTTATGAGCCAAGCAAAGACAAAACTAGCTACAAGTTTTATAAAAATCTGCTGCATAGGGTGCTACAAACAGAAGATTTAGATTGTAAAGAAAATGTAATCATTGAAGGGGACTTCAACTGTCCTCTTAACCCTAAACTGGATAACAAAGGTAGCGCTATGGTAGAAAAATGGTTATAGATGATATTGAATGTTGGACCTTGTAGATGTCTGGAGAGTTAAAACTTCACAATCTAGACGTTACACTTGGAGTATTGGCTGATATCAAACAACTTGCAAGATTTCGTAAACACAACCGATATCATCCCAGCCATTCAAAATGATCATGCAGCAATTGAGTTGAATCTAACCGAGTCTAATCACCACTCAAAGAGGCCCGGGTTCTGGAAAATGAACGTCTCTCTTCTCGAAGATCCAAATATTCTGAAAGAATTAAGACAAAATATTCCAGTGTCGAAAACAACAAGTAGTGATATTTTATCAGATAAAAGGTACATCTGGGATTGGCTTTTACAATAATATTGGGAACCATGCCAATTTTGTTCTCGAAAACATACTATGAAAAAAAACTTACATCACGTATACGAGGAAGCCAAAAAAAACAAAAACAAAACAAAACAAAAAACCGCTGGACCCTTCCGACTCTAATTATTCGTGCAAGGGCACGATGGCACGAGCATGGCGAGAGAATAAAAGTATATACAAACTACTTTCTAACTTTACAAAAACTTACTCATGTCAAAAAACATATAAGAAAACTGCTAATAAGCGATTCCATTACATCTTACCCTTTTGACTTTTGAGACACTGATTAGAGATTTTTTAGATACTGATTTGTTTAACTTCAAAAAATTTAAATAATTTGAATATACCAAGCAAAAACGCTTTTACCATAGCTTGTACAAATCAAACGTTTAAATATAACATTTATTGACGAAATTACAGCCATCCTCAGCAGCTTATAGAATATCAATTACCTTAGTAATGAATTGGAATACCAATTGAACTTTACAAAAGTTGCGGAGAATTAACGCCCGAATTAATGAATTAATTAATTAGTGCTCCATTTATTGAGTGTAGAGTGTTTCAACCACGGAAATGTCTAGTTTTCAAAGGAAAGCAATCAAAACTCTAATAGAGCAACATAAGATAGAACTCCCTTTAAAAATTGGAGGCTAATCTCTCTTATCAACGTGGATGCTAAAATTATCTCAAAAGTGATTGCTTGAAGGTTTTTTTTAAAAAAAAAAGGTTCCACGGAATATTACACATCATAACCAAACAGGTTATGTTGAAGATCGCTATATTGGTGAGACTATCCGATCAATTTCGAAATAAAGGAATTTACAGACTTAAGAGTGTGTCCATGAGAAAACCAGGCAGAAGCAGGCAGGGGGTGATAATGCTCAAATCACCGATTTCGCTCAAACTTGGCACAAATGTTAGGTATCAGGAGTTAGCTTATGTGACAGAATGTCAGGTCAAAATATTAAATTCCCTGGGAGATCCGGGCTCCCCCAGTAAAAATCGCCATTTTGCCCGTTTATGCATAATTAATTAGCTAACTTTACGATGCCAGTGCAACAAACAGAAAAGCCACCTGGAACTTAAATGCACTGAGAGATAATCTGACATCATAAGACTTTAAGCACAATAAACTGTTTAAAGTCGCCGATTCGATTTCCCCCCTCTTAGCCCCCTTAAGTTGGGTCATCATTTCCAAGTTTTGAGTAAGACGTAAAATTAGGGTATTTTATTCCCAAATATCTCTGATGAGCAACTGCTTATCTTTATAACTTTTGAATGAGTAGTTAAAGCCATCACTTAAGTTGAGAAAAAGATCATAAAAAGTTTGGGCAATTCACTTTCTTCCATGTGTTGACATAAACTGTTCATGTGACTGAACGACTTTTGCATATTTCATCAAAATTCAGGCCCTCACAATATTCGTGTGTTTGCCTTTGAATGAGGAGAAATCGAACAAAAAAACTCATCAGACAATGATTTAACATTAATAAGGGTAAAATCACAAAAATTGTTGTGCAAGAAACGCTAACGATGATTTTTGGTAGCTATATACGCGATCTGTTCAAGTAAAAACAACATACAAAGATTTAATTCACAGTTCTACTTACTTTAACAATTTCGCCCTAAAAACAATATAAACGATCAATAAAATCCATATACGTATCTCTTAGATGTCTCAACTACTAGTTTGTGCCCGCTTTGATTTGTTCTTCATGCCACCTTCGATGTCCAGTTCAGCGTAGTTCAGCGTCGTGACTCGCTGTACGACTAAAATTCCTTAGCCATCAGTTTACGCACCAAAATCCAAATCAAGTTGTTTTAGGACAAAACAATACGAAAGGTAAAAAGCCGATTCTTAACCCATTGAAAGAATTATTTCTGCCACTGTTGTAGCTCAATTCACATGTTGCAAACGTCCGACATCTTTGACATTATATGGAGCCCGCATTTTTAAGCAGCGGTTGCCACCTCACGGAAACATTGTATCGGGAGTCAGGAACCAGGAGCCAGGAGCCAGGAGCCAGAGTTCAGTGAACAAAATGACTTTCCGACATTCCCTGAGATTATTTTATTGTTATTGTATGCTGATAAATAATTTAGAATTCCAAATCTTTTGGCAACTTTATTCAGACCATGATTATAAATGGTCCCTGTCTTCTCAAACTCGGAGGTAGAAGTCGTTTTGTCTTCGTGTTTTGGAAAGAACTATTTTTTCTATTTTAGTTGCACGTGAAATAGCAGCGAAGTGAAGCCGGATGATGGTGCAGACCAGTTCAAAGAGACAAATAAAGCGTGAGACACGTCCAGATTGGCTTGCGACAAGAATTCCATTTTTTTTCATACTGGAGTCCCTTCTCCCCGGGGGAGTGTCCAAATTGCGTACAAATGCCCTACCATGCTGGCACCAGATTTGACTGTCATAAACAGTGAATTTTTTTATCTCGCACGGTCTTTTGGGGGTCTTATAAAGCTTAACTGTGGCACTAATGTTCCCAAGTAGAATTCAAAATACACCACACTTTCACATTGAGCTAGATATTTTTCTCAAACAACCGCTTCCATATGTTTAACACCCTTCCCACATTCCCTCCCGAGAGATACGGTCTGACTACAAAAAGGGCTATTATGGACCATTATTATCATGGTAATTAACGTTAACATCGAATAAACTCAAAATTTCAAGTAACACGACTTTCAAAACCTATTTTCAACACACCAGTTATAACAGGATATTGGGGCGTACAACAATGGATAGCGTATTCCGCATTCCGGAGTCCGGTAGTCCGGCGTCACAGATTCCATCCTTTTGGCAGAGTCTAAAGTCAAAGATGGAGGATGTTCGAGCAGGTGGTTGTTTTCTGTTGATATAGACGGATTGTCAGTGATCCTTCTTGTCCTTTGAGAATGATTTTGTTCTTTCTGACTAAAACTTATTTCAAAGACTTCGAATGTTCGGTGAAAAGCCGGCTCTTTTAATTCTGCAATGTTTCAAGATGTTTCGATTTCATTACCTCGTCACGAAGTAACGCCACAAAGGACCAGACGAAACTGGAGCAGCAAATCTGGACTAAAGCACCTGAGAGACGTGTAACATTTATTCACTATCTTTTATCCTTTTTGAGTCTTGTTTCACCTACAAGTTGGACCGATCGAGGTTTTGAACTAACTCAGTTTGTTCCCTGTGTTTACTCAAGCGTTCCATAAAATATCCATCCAAACGTCCATGAATAACACAGAAAACATGCCTCAGGTGACACGTTCAAACAATTCCGCTATTAGTATCGATAATGACGCATCTGATTTGTGACTTCTCGTCAACTGTGTGCTATTTTTGTTTAAAAAAACGAATGTTGCGTTTCTTCCAATTTTGGTCAAATGACAAATAAGCGTCAAGTCAGATGTACATAATACGTCATTATTGATAAAGTATGAGATTGCCCAAATATTTTATGATTGATTTGATAACCTTAAAGATGTCTTTCAAAGAATATGTGAGAATTAAGTACATAGGTTGTTGCTCATGGGAGATGTTAGCCACCAAAATACCTTAAATTTAGGGTTTGGTCAAAACAGTGAGAAGATGTCCTTACTTTAGGCTAAATAATAGGAAGAGATTGAATTAGAGAGTAAAAATAGATTACTGAGCATTAAGTATGATAAACATAGAAGATGATAAAGTTGATTAGATTTGAAGTTGTCTTTTCTTCTTGTTGAACAGCCAAACCAAAGTCAGCTAATTAATTATGCAAAAATGAGTAGATTTTGTCGTTTTTAGGGGGGGTCCCTGTAAATCCCAGGGAATTCAATATTGCGACCTTATTTTTTGTCGAGGTTAATATCTCACCACACCCATCAATTGTGCCAAGTTTGAGCGAAATCCGTGATTTGAGCATTATCACCTCCTGCCTGGTTCTCTCATGGACACACTCTTAAAGAATATTTCAGGTATCAGTTGATTTTTATTGACTTTCGACTCTTTAGAATGGCATTACCTTTTCAGTTGCCTTGGGGCTTTTAATTTTGGCCCCGATTTTATAAATTGGATCAAAACATCTGTAAATTAGGGTAGAAAAGGTATACACATAAACCAGTTAGTCCGCTAATGGGATCAGAGGCACCTTGTTGGGGTGGCGGACTGTCTGGTATTCCTTTCTACCAATTATTCACTTCATATTTTAACTTTTAACAAACCCCCAAATCCAATATTTTCCCATTTTCCCAAACGTTCAAACATCTCCCTCCCTAAATTTTATGCATTAAAAACATCCTAAAAATCATCCAAAAATTCACAAATAATTATTGAATTAAGGACTGTAACTTCATTGAGTCATTTTAGGATGGAATGAAATCTTGGCTAGACATTTAAGAAAAAAGGTCGAAATCAACGAAAAAATAATGCTTTTAACCGTACTGCCCCAGTAAGGGAATTAAAATAGGAAATCACGAAGCCAAGCTATTGCAATACACAGACTGCCACGACAACCCTGTTTAATAAAAATTCAGCAAAAGCGTTATATATCTGAAGAACTAGACGTATTTAAGAACTTCAGTGGGTTGGAGATAAATAGCTTTACAACAGAAGGAATGCGGACCGGTTCGTTTATAAAAGAAAAGATGAAAAACCGTTTGGTATAAAACGGACGGCCTAGTGAACTCATAAAAGGTTTAGGAACTTTTTTTCACATATGACTAATCATTGCTCAACCAATAAAACTCTCAAGAGAAGGTTGACAGTATAAAGAAGCTGACAAATATATGGTCATCTTGAGGATGAGCTGTCGCAGTGCGCTTATGGTAACTTCCGATTGGTTGGTTTTACCTATTTAAGATGCTGTTTTCGGTATGTTCTTCTCTCTAGCTTGCGACGCCCCCACTTTCGAACTTCTATTTAATTGTTTCTGCTTCGGATGCTGTACGATCTGGTCGAGAATGCGGGTCATCCCTGGTGTAATATAATTCATACGTTTTCTTCGTTTTATGCACTATTGTCA